TGCACTCTGCCAACTAAAACAGGATGGAACTGTAATTATAGAACTGCAGAATATGCTGACTGTGTCAAAAGCTTCAACACATTCCATCAGTGTTAAATACGACTTAAGCTTTGACTCCACTGCATGGACACCAAGCCTGAAGGAAGTTTTATTTCAGATCTGTCATTTTTTAGGCCTTGAAACAGAGCTTGTTGTCCATCACAGTATGTGAGATTCTGCCAGTTTTCTCTCAGTGAGAAAGTGGTGAATGTGGGTAGAAGATGAGCACACATGGTGGGTAATTAGTCTCGTTGGGTTTGAGTTCAATGACTTACAGATGGCTGGGTGCATCAGTCAGACAAAGCAGAAATGTTTCATTTAATTCTTTCTGTCTTGTCCATTTAGACACGTTTAGCTCTGGTTAATACATACAACTTGAAGCACCTTGAGATAGAATACAAATTTATGGTGTTATTTTAAATGAGTCATCATGATTTGAAAAATTTCACTCAGAAATATGTCTCATTATGCACATAAAAAAGGGGTTGCAAACAGTATTTCACATTGATTAGTGCATCCAACATGGCTGTCAGTCCCCAGATTGTTTATGCATGTCCCATGTGCTTTAGCATGGGCTGTTCTGTGCAAATGTCACGTCTACAGTTTTTTTTAAGCAATTTAGCAAAAAAAAAACAAAAAAAAACAGATGAATGCATTTACTCTTTTTACTTAAAATGCATAATATGTTTTTTTGGTCCCATATGAAATATTTAGTTTTGAAATGTGGGGCATTACCATTGTGAGCAAGCTGATATAAAAAAAGAGTTGGAGTTTATTAAATCATGGATGATATTCCAGAGAAGCTCAGGGTGTGTCATATTTAGTTACAGCTGCTTTCATTTTTTTGTCCCTAAAGAGTAAATGTGCTCAAGATGCTGAGATCCTAACTTCATATTCATCACTTTTTTTGGTGGATTTCCAAGTAAGAGAAGTACCACACCTAACATTTACGGTATTATCAACATGTAACGTCATTCAAAGCCATTCTGTAATATGACGTATTTCCAGTGAAATATTCATTGTGAAAAAATAAAGAGCATTTCATTACAGTACTAGAATTCTGTTTTATCTATCTATCTATCTATCTATCTATCATTAGTTTATATAAAAAAATTAATGTATTATATATTTATATCATTTACATTTAACAATTTAGCATTATATATATTTTATATATATGAAATTGCTAAATATAAAATATATAAAAATATAAAACATTAGTGTTTATATATATATTTGTTTTTTATTAATAACTAAAATTGTAATATATAATAAATTGTATTTATTGGAACATATCCTTCTGAATAAATATCATGCAGTATAAATTCATACTGATCTGTCAGTGATGCTTAATTGTCTACATTAATGTAATGAAATAATATATGCAAGGCAGCAGGAGTGATCAGGATGCAGGATGTTGCCCTTGTTGCACCTTCCTTCCCCCTCCACCCTGCAGCATGAACATTCCTCTGGTTTTATTGCTAGAGTACATGCTTTTCTGTATAATGCCTATTCTTATCACAGAAGAAGGTTGTAGATATAAAGATCCCCGAAGTGCTTTCAGATGGTCATTTCTGAGTTCAAAGTTCAGTCTTAAACTTCAGCTTTAAAGTAAGCGTGTGTATGTAGCCTACATGTGGAAGAGGGAGGGGAGGGAGTTAAAAAGACGCCCCGCAGACCGCATCAGGAAACCATATTACGTTGGTTCTCACCAGCTTCCTGTTTCTAACACAGATATAACAGTACAGCTTGCGACACTGTGATTTACTTATTGTTGCCCTTGACCTCACTACTACATATAACCGCATATTATGGAAGCCTGTTTCCACCATGGGATAAAAAAAAATTAGAGGTAAATAGCAATTTTTTTAACTCACAATTTTTGTCACAATCGCAAGGTACAAACTCAGAATTGCAAAATCAGAATTACTGGTAATTCAACTCACAATTCTGATAAGAAAAGTCTGAATTGTTAAATATAAACTCATAGTAACATAACATGTGACATAAAAAGTCACAATTACTTTTTTTCTGTGACAGGAAAAAAACAGAGAAGCTGAGAGATTTAAACTCAGAATTTTGAGAAAACTAGTGAACATTACAAGATGCAAACTTGGAAATAAGGAATATACCTTTTTAAATCTCTCACAATTCTTAGAATTGAAAAAAAAAAAATAAATGTCTGAAATGTGAGATAAAAAGTCACAATTACCTTTTTTATTTTTTTCATTAAATGGCAGAAACAGGCTTCCATAGCATATTGCCACTAAGGAAAAAGATTCATGCCAGACATAAGCAACAGAGGTGGAAAAAATCTTCTTATAAAATTAGTACTAGGTAACTGTTGCTTGGGCAACAATATGTAGAAAATACAACAAATATTTATTTATTTATTTACTTATTTGGCAGGTACAGTTTTTTTCAGTGTGATAAAAATAGCAGTTAACTGGTATTAGAATTTAGAATTTCTCTCTCAACATACATTGTAAATATTATTTTACTTTCAAATTTTATTTTATTTTCAGATGGCTATTTTCTGATTACTTAAAGAGTACAGAGCACAGTCATAGAGACAGTTGTGATTTCTCAGGACACAGTTTTTGCTGATTAGGTAGCAGGGATATTTTATGTGTGGTATTCAAAAGAATCACTTACAGCACTTTTAATCAGATCTTTCCAGTTGTGCTTTGTCAGTTTCTGCCCCAGGATCTGCATCAATATGAAATAAGATAGATAGATAGATAGATAGATAGATAGAGGTGAAGAAAGCTGCCACAAAGAACGCTGACTCACAACGCACATATCAGTTAGATAGCAAATGATGATTTATTTGCCACTCTATCTTCTCTTTAATTTGCCGTTCAAATGGACAATTGATGTCTGGCTCTCCAGACCACCAAAGTGCAGCGCTAGACAGAATCTTCCTACAGCGTTGTAGAACTGAGACCAGACAAAATGTAAATTGGTCATGCTTTTTGCATCTGTTTTGTCTGACCTTTTGTTTTGGGCCATTGTGTTAACATGTACCAACATTTTGTAAAGGAAATCTACCTAGATTTTTACAGATCACTTAGAGAAGCCACACAATTTCAGGTATAATTCATGTAGCTCAAACAGTTTGGGATGAGTTACGCAATGTTTAATACTTAGGACCAAGGGTTTTGAAAAACCATATCTTTGAAATGAAAACTGATTAAAAATAGTCTAGGTCTATCAACAGTCTACATCTAAATTAGAATTCAGAGCTCTATGATGATGATGTAACAGGCTCATATTGAATTAGGTTTATATGGTGGATTGTCCTGCTTCAGTGAGCTGATTGCTTTGCAGATGTGCACAGCTGGCCATGTCAGGTCTATCATGATGTTGTTTGACTGAGCAGCTGTAGGCCTATGTATGTGTATGCAGAGGTGCACAAAGAACACAACTCTATAACTTTAGTGAAAGTATAGATACTGCTGGTCAAATATGACTCCATTACAAGTAAAGGTTGTAAAGACAGATGTTTACTTGAGTAAAAGCACAGAAGTGCCACATTTGAACTGAGTGGACAGTGAAATTGCTGTAAATACAGACTGATAAGAAAAAAAAATCAAACCTGCTTTAAAACCCAGCAACACAACTGTAGCTGTATAACTTTACAACAGCAACACTTTAACAAAAATGCAAAACAGCAAGACTTATTTGACATCATGGCTCTGGCGGTACTTTGATATCATACACAGAACGGTCTGCAGTGCTGGTTAGTCAAACACCTGTGTTTTGTTAGGAGACGCACAACAGTTCTTCTGTGGTTTTATTGGTAATATTTTCTTTTACACAATTTTGCAAAATGAATACAATATTGTGTCTAATATATACCACAATATTAACTTCTTATTATTGAATTGTTGAAAATAAATATCACATTTGCAACAGGTCAGTGTTCAGAAAATGCTGGGAACTCACCTCACTTAACCCTACAAGAGTGATTACTGGCTGTAAAAAAAAAATCACATTTTAGAGAAGAAAAACAATCAACCACCGACTTTTAAAGGTGCTACAGTAACGATTTCAAGGACCTTGATAGAAATGTAGTGGAGTAAAAAGTATGATATTTGTCTTTCAAATGTAGTGAAGTTAAAGTAATGTTTCCAGAAAAAATAATACTCAAGTGAAGTACAGATACTCAAAAATACTTAATAGGCTACTCAAGTAAACGTAGGCCTACTTCATATTGTCCTCTGTATGTATGGAAAGGAACTTTCTTTATAAATAAATTAGATTTTTTGTTTATTTTTGAAAGGGAATATCACATTAAAGCTCCTGAGTATCAAAAGAAGAAATATTTTATTGCATCAAACTATGTCGAAAAAATTAAATATATAATTTTATCGAACGACATCCGCATACACACGAAAGTATTTTGAATGGAGCAGCAAGTGCCTGGCATGATAAGTTTCTTTCATTATTTGTGACCCTGGACCACAAAACCAGTCATAAGTCACGGTTTCAATAGGAGATGGTCCTCACTGCAGAACTCCTCCCACCTTACATATACCTAAACCTACCCGTCTCCACCCCTAGGATATTAAGTAAAGATCATGTTCCATGAAGATATTGTGTAAATTTCCTACCGTAAATATATCAAAACGTAATTATTGATCAGCAAAATGCATTGCTAAGAACTTAATTTGGACAACTTTAAAGGCGATTTTGTCAATATTTTGATTTTTTTGCACCCTCAGATTTTCAAATAAGTAGTTGTATCTCGGCCAAATATTGTCCTAACAAACCATACATCAATGGAAAGCTGATTTATTCAGCTTTCAGATGATGTATAAATCTTAATTTCATTTATTCCCGTGCGCGTTCCCGTCAGCGTCCCTCGTGAATTTTGTGGAGTATAGGGCGCGCGCACCGCTTTGCCACAGGGAGCGCGCACGGAGCGCGATAAGACAAACCAGAGCCGGGAACGCGGAAACAGTACAAGCGGTCGACGATAGAGTTGAGGTGCGTTAACCGGCGACTGCGGGAAAGAGCGACGCTCACCACAGAAACCGCGTTTCAAAGCCCAGTTTCTGGGTGTAACAGATTTACTTTTATTTCAGGTCGTCGGATAAGAAAGCCCGTTTGAGTGGATAAAACCGAACCAGCGAGGAGAAAGGCGGATTGTTTCTAGATTTTAGTCGGGATTTGAGAATGTCGGGGAGCCGAGAGGAGGAGCGGCGGAAACTCGCCGACATCATCAACCACTGGAACGCCAACCGGCTCGACCTGTTCGAGATCAGCCAACCGACCGAGGTGAGTCCGCGGAGCCGCCAGCGAGCGCAGGCCGCAGCGCTCCTGACGCTCCGCTCCGCGCCGCGCCGCGAGCTTCATTCCCCCAGCACGCGAGCTTCTTACAGTAAAGAAACGTGGGCATGATCTGTCATATATTCTCTTTTTGTAACGTACAAGTGGCTCTGGAACGGCTGAATCACGACGGCAGCTTTGTTGTGACTTATCTAATGCATTTTGAGTCAGTTAATGGCAGGTTACGGCTATGTTGGAGAGGTGTAGTAAAGCATAAATAGTTTAAGATGGGAAAAAAATGCGGACACTTTTGGCTGAGTCCCTGTTGCTGTTCGAAACTATTCGTTTTAATGTTTCTTACCATGCACCAGCCGGTCATTCACCGGGCTAAAATCGGTGCTTGCTGTTTGTAGCACAGAGCTGCATGCAAAGCTGTCAGAATAGATCTGACCAGCTGCATACTAGTGCTGGATGATGTTGGAGATGAATGTAATAAACATGGTTTGTTAGGTTAGGATGCCAATTGATGGTCAACAGAAACTGGTCATATAAGTGATGTAACGTTAACCTGAAATGCACCGGTGACTATGCGTTTATTTGCACTGTGTATGTTTTCAGATATTTATAACGCAAGCGTCATGCATGTTGTCACTCCGCAATGCATTGCTGTTTTTGCTTAAATGTTAGCTCAGCATGTTTTAGATGCATCTAGCAAACACTCGCGGGATAAATGGGGTGTTTAACGCGCATTGGTCTTGCATGCATATTCTTTGGTATCTGCAGATGCATTGGATTGCACGCCAGATTTGGTAGGGAATTAGTGTTTTTAGGCGGGCAGTGCATGAATGCATTGAATGAAGGGGGTTGGGGGTAAAGCATCAGGTCGGGGGTCTTCCCTGCTGATTTACTGGAAACCCCTGTAGGCTCTGAGAATATTCTTTGGCCCTTAAAAATTCATGCATAAGTGATATTGAGCCTCTGGGGCACCTGCTGATGTGACATAATAAAAGCCTAGATTAGGTTTGTTTTGGTCTGTAGAGGGTGATTAGGAAGAAGTGGACAATGCATTAACAGAACCTCAATGAGAACCCGTTAAGAGCACAAACTCCTAAGATCAGCAGGAGTGTTGAAGAGCAGATGATGACGTAATCGTCTGGTCCTCCAACCAATTGTGACAGCCGATTTGCAAGCCTGCTTCTATTGTCACATTTTATTCACTGGCACATTGTATAATAACTAGAAATCTACTGATATAATGTTTTTTTTTTTTTTTAACATCCAGTACTGATTTTTTTCTTCTATTAACCAGTGTGCAGAATTAATTTTTTATTGTAGTCATTAGATTGCAAAACATAAATATAATGAAAATTGTGAAATTATATAGGTATATAATATGATAATATATTCAATTCAATAAATTCCGATAATTATTATTAGGTATACCATGACATACTGCACGCAGTTGTTTTGCAATCTTAAGTGGTTGCGTATTTATTTTTATCTCTTTGTTTTGGTCTGTGACTCGGGCTGTTATGCCTAAAATGCTTTGCATTTCTCACTTGAGAATGAATGGCTATTATGTAAGGAGTCATTTATGTAAACAATCCATTAAATAAGTGGGTTACTTTACCTGTGAACCGCTATTTACTGTTGAATGCACAGTGGTGTAATGGCATTGAAGGGTGCTTTATTTTTGGAGACACAAATGATGCAGTATATCAGTTGACCAGCTATTTAAAGACTGATTATCAGTCTATCTTTCTTAACACCACTGGATTTTAAAGGAATAGTTCACACAAAAATGAAAATTTGCTGATAATTTACTAATCCTCAAGCCTTGCAGTGAGTTGAGATGAAATGAAATTTAACATTACATCACTTGCTCGCCCTGTGGATCCTCTGTAGTGAATGCGTGCCGTCAGAATGAGAGTCCAAACAGCTGATAAAAACATCACAAGTAATCCACACAACTCCAATCCATCAATTTACATCTGGTGAAGTGAAAAAGTGTATGTTTGTAATAAAACATAATTCATCTTAAGATGTTTTTAACTTCTAGCTAACGAGTCCTCTATCCATAATATTGCTTTTTCCTGTGTACTATTCCATTAAAGCATATTGGCTTAGCAATAGATAGATGTGTTCATTCAAAAAATGCAGTTTGTAATGCTAACATGTAAGCTTGTCCATATGGATATTCTAAGATTTAAAGAGAAGGATCGTAATTGCCTGTATTTGGTCTGGAATTTCGATCAGTTTATATGTAAAGATCAGTTTTGTAGCTCTATTCTGTGAAGTAGTGCATAGACGATCTCATGCTGTGCTTTCATTGTCAGCTTTAATATCGCAGTCATTGGGGATTGCAGTGGGTTTACAGATCATATTTGGAGATCCAGGGCAGATATAAAAAGTGCCTTGTTATACATTAAATAAATAAGCAAGTGTGTTTAACTAGCTTAGTCATTTATTGCATGCATAATTTATCAGTTTGGGATTCTGGGATTGTAGTAGGGATTGTTTTGCATGTTGTATCTGCAATGTGGCGTCTTCCTGTTTTACATAACTTTTCATGTTAGAATATGTGTGCATAGTAGGGCTGCACGATATTGGAAAAAACTCACATTGCGATATTTTATTTTTCTGCGATTTTATGTATTGCGATATGAAAAAAAAATCACCACATGACTTGAATAGTTTATTTGGAAAAAAATAATGATTGGGGTGATTTTGTATAAATCAGCATAGGAAATAAACAAATTACAAGCATAGATAAATATAACGGAACAAAGATACAAATGAAATAAGCAGTGCTTTATATTTTTCAGGTAAGTCTAACAGTATTCAGGTACAGAAATTGAATAATCAAATGTAAAATAAAACTGCATAGTCTTCACTGTCTAAATTAAATCTAATAAATCTGTTAAAGCTACAAAAGTGATTTTTTTGTGTTTTGTTGTTTGATTAACATTCATAACACAGAATTGTGCCATTTCAGGCACAAATAGACGCAGAAGTGAACAGAATTCAGTGTTCATGTGCATCTGCGTGGCTCTTACCGTGTCTACACCGGACGCGCGCGGCGCGACGCAACAAAATACAATGAACTCATTATCAGTGATGCTGTCTACACTGGATGCGGCGCGGCACGACAAATCCCTGACAGTAAACTGACAGTATACAGATGTTCTCTTTATGACGTACTGACACAAATTATGTGCAACGGTCGCGTCCAGTGTAGACAGACTTTGGGGCCGTTCAAATGTCGCGCCTAAAAACGAGGGGGAAAACGCCAGTCGCGCCGCTTTCTCCTTTCCAAAGCGCTCGGGAGCTTGCTTTCGTAGCGTCTGCCGTTGCTAAGCAACCGTGACCTGCGCTTTCCACGACGACGCGGAAGTTTCAACAAAGGATAAATGGATTTCCAGCACTGAAAATCGCTTGAAGCTCCGCTACTAAATTTATTTAAAATGGGTATCTCTGTACAGCTGTCACATCCGGTGTAGACACCGTGTCTGTGTGTGAGCAAAGAAAACAATCAGTATAAATATAACGATCAGTAGCCTATACTAAACATCGCACATCCTGCGATGTGACTATCGCGGATGCACACATCGCGATATCGATGCTGAAACGATATATCGTGCAGCCCTAGTGCATAGTCTTCATGAAGTCGACATGTTGCCTTTAGCTCTCTCTGTTTAGGATAAATTGCTTGCAATGTTGCTCATTGTAATTCACTTTGGATAAAGCACATATTAAGGGATTAAATGTAAATAAAACATTGCTTTTTATACAGTAATTAAAAAGATACAAGATAATATGTTTAAAAAATGACAATACATGATCTTTCATAAGTTTACTTGAGCTTTTAGGAAGGGTGCATCAGACAATTGTTTGAACTGATTAGTGTGTTGAAATGAATTTGATTCTGAAATACAAAAACCAAGCTTTTCACCCATCGAATCTGTTTTTTTTAAGAAAATGGAGGATCAAAGGGATGCATGCCATTTCCTGTATCCGCATCTGCATCTTATCCACCAAAAACAGTTTCATTGGGCCTGACTGTCCCCACCCTACTGATGTCTTGTGATTCCATTCCCATGTGTCTCACACTGGCTAAGATTGACTCTGTGAAGTCCACTTTGACAAGAGTTTGCATGGCTGAAAGGACATAAAAAAAGATTGTGAAGTTGTGTTGTTGCTAGGGATAAACCTATAATTGGTTTGGCTGACATTTTAAATTGATATTTATGCTTTTGTTCTTTAATATAGGGTTTCCCACTACATTTAGACATAATTGTGATGCACTAGAATGCGCTTTTGGGTTTCTGATTCCAGAACACTTTTAATTTTAGGCAACATTAAATTAAGAGTTAATGTATAATACTAATAAAACTGGTAACATTCATAATTTGTTACAAATGCACGTTATTAGTCAAGTAAAGAATGTTGTTCAGAGGTAAGTGATGAATAATTTAGTTATTAGTGCATCTAAAAGCAGAAAATTTGGAAATATTCTACGTGTGATTATCAGGCAGTTAAACATAATAATCGGTGTACATTTATGCATTTGGCAGATGCTTTTATCCAAAGTGACTTGCATTGCATTGATTATCAGCTGGCAATCGAACCAATGACTTGGGAATTGTTAGTAGCACCATGCTCTACTGTTTGAGCTACAGGAAGGCTTTACTGGACGGTTTACTGTTGTCATTAAAAAAAATCAACATTCATCATGTCTAGTTTTTGTGTATCAAAACTGGATAAGTGTCCTAGAGGTTATACCTTCAAAGAGTAAGCCTGCATTTTTTACTAAGAATACATAGCTCAGGGTAAAGGTGACGTGAAATTGTAATCAAATCAGGTTTTCCCATGGTAGTATCTTTGCCTAACCTGATTGGCCCATTCCCAGCAGGTGATAGTTCAGTGTCACTTGGGACATGGGAAAATATTTGAGGCTGCAGGCTTTCTCTTTTGCTTTCTCATGGTTGAAGCAATTTAACTGAATGTGT